ATCATGCATTCCAGACCCAGAAAACATACTTGTCTCAAGTACTGTTCAACATTTTGGGCAGCAGCTATTTGTTTGTGCTGAGTAGGCATGGTGCTGTCGAAACTTCACTAACTTTTGTTCCCATCCCACATAAGGTTTTGGGCAGTAGCCTACTATGTCACCAAGCAGAGAGGGGTCCTAGAGAACACTGGGACTTGCTCATTAGGTAGTGTTTTCAGCTATCCCTGTTGTTTGCTGGGCCAGGCTATGCAGACAGGTGTTTATTGGTTTAGAGGAATCATCAATTGATCATCACCCGTCTCCTTTTCAAAAATCTCATATAACTTAAAACAGCCCTGACAGATGGCTGAAAACAAGCATGTTTTTTCCTCTTTTCCCTATTAAATGTTGAAGCTTTTAACAGGAGTGTTTGTCTCAAGTTTTGTGATGCAGGGGTGTCTTGGTGTCACTTGCTTACTCTCACGGGATATGCTTCTTTTTTAATCCAAGTAAAATGAAAAGGAAAACCTGTGTGGATTGAAATGGTTGGAGCAGTTTCATCCTGTGCCATTTAGCGGTATGTTCAGAGGCGGTTTTTCTGGCTGTCTTACAAAAGACCATCAATGCAGCAAGCACTGCCTTGCTTTCTGAGAAAATCAACAACTCTTTATCTTCCAAGTACCCACACCTTTCGCTGTTCACTTCTATGTGTTCCGCTTCCTTTGATTGTTGCTTCAGAGAACCGTTAGAGATGTAACTAACTCTTTATCATGGCTCATGCATTTTAAAGAGTCTCTGATTGGCTCTGTTTCATTCTAGCAGTGGATTATTTGGAAGGGAGGGGGTATGAAGGTTTCTTAGGCCATTTGTCCTCCTGTTCCTTCTACTTGAAGGGATATGATATGGAGAACCATGAAGTTAACCAGAGCAGTGCAACGTGACAGGTGTTGAGGGTGCTGTGAATAGTGGTATAGTCAATGAAAGAGACTTGGATTTCAAGTTCTCTCAGAACTGGACAGACAACCAAGTGGAATCATATGATTAAGGGTTGTGGTTATATGTAAATACTGAAAATGCAACCAGTATTCCAGGGGCTTATTCAAAGATTTGGCTTGAATTCTATCAGCTCTATTATAGCTGAACTTTCTTTTTTATATCTTCAGCTTAGGGAAAACATGGGGGAACAACTTGCAATTAACACATCAAATGAACACATAGAAAAATATAAATAAATGTAATTACAATGTGATGACAAATATGGCAAAATGTCTTTCAAGATGCCAAAGTGGTAGTGACAAGTATTCCGGCTCAATAATTCAGCTTTATAGACCAAACCACATCCCAAGGCAGAGAATAGACAGTCCTACTTCAGGGATCAGTCACCCTTCATTTGGCAGCAAGCATAGCGTAAGTGTCATTATATCATCAATGTGGGCCTTCTTGAAAAAATTAAGCATGGCAACCACACTCAAGTAACAAGCTTGTCCTTTTAAATAGAATTAAGGAGTGATATTTTATTTAAATTAAGAGTCCATCAAGTTTTTGGCACATGTCACAGCCCAAATGGATTACTTGACTCCTGTAACATTCAATCCAGCAAGAGACAAGAAAGTCTAATGAATTTAAAACGTTGTAATGGGCATGAATATCTATCACAAGTGACAGTAAAATTAGGAAAACATTCAATTACAATCACCAGTAATTTATTGTTGTTATTGATTTGTGTTATGCTTGCATTAATAAAAACATTTCATTATTCTGAAGGGAGATGGTGTTCTGCATCTGGCCTCACTGCAATATTTCACATTACAATAACTCTAAAGGGAAGGATGCAAAATTGAGATGAGGCAGTCAATCTCTCTCTCTCTCTCTCTCTCTCTCTCTCTCTCTCTCTCTCTCTCTCTCTCTCTCTCTCCCCTTTTCTCTGTCTCTTGTCTTTCACACAACCGCTTTGTCTATAGTCTGCATGGTGCATAGACGATAATGGCAAGCATACAGGAATGGTTATATTCTTCCTACGGCAACCAAGTAAAATTGTCATCCACTGAAGGAACTTTATAGGGATTTATGATTTGTCCACATTAATTACAGTGTATTCTAAGTGTAGTTACAGAACATTTAGCAATATTAATCTTTGGTTCCTATGTCGTTTTTGTAATGTCAAAGAATGCACAACGAAATATGTCTGAATGCAAAATGATTCTGAGAAAGAATGTCAGTGACATTATTTGGATCAATAATTGAAGAGCAATATTAAGGTTATGGGATTAAAGTGGTGCCACTTTTTAAGCACAAAATATTCAAACAAATTATTATTAATATCCTAATGTCCACCCTCTTTTTGTTGTTGTCACAAAAATGCTAAACTATATATTTTTGTATCATACAAATTCCAAAAAGGGTAAATGTTTAGGATTAAACGTGTTGGCAGAATGACAATTGACATGAGAATAGATTTTCTCACAATTGACATCACCAGGCTGTTCAGTGTAGGAACAACTCAAAATCGGAAAAACTGGGAAATAACTGCTCTTTAACCAGTTTGAGAGCCTGCCCTTAAAAGAGGAGATTACTCTGTACAATATTCCAATGCAGCAGTCCATCACTGTGTGCTGAGAGGGTGGGAGGGCATCGTTATATACATGTACTCTATGAGGAATGAGTTGTCACTTTGCATAGAAGGGGAGACATTAAGCCGCTGCTGGGGGAGTGGGTTGAGGCTGGAGCTGGTAACTTTGCTAGCTGGCTGGCTATGCTAATCAGGCAATCATTAAGATTAAATAGAAGATGAAGGAGCAAGGTGCAATTGAAACCCAGGTAAAATATGTTTCTAATTTCCAGATTGCCACCTAGCTTTTTAATTTAACCAGGTACTTGCAAAAAATTTGCATGGCATTTAAGCACTCATTACAATATTAATCTTCCCTACTGGAATGGAAGAGCCCAAAGGTTAAGTATTATTCCTGTATTCATTTTTCAGACTTTTTTTTAACCAACATGAAGATTTTCATTTGAAATAGTGCCATCTGCCTGAGAATAGGTCCAGGTGTGCAAGTGCCTTAGTTGGGCGGCAGGTAGATTAGTGGTTAAGAGCGTTGTGGCAGTAACCGAAAGGTTGCTGGTTCTAATCCCTGAGCCGACTAGGTGAAAAATATGTTGATGTGCCCTTGAGCAAGGCACTTAACCCTAATTGCTCCTGTAAGTCGCTCTGGATAAGAGCGTCTGCTAAATGACTTAAATGTTATTTGTAACATGTTCTGTATTAGTGAGGTCAAACAAAAAAATGTGTCCAGTAGCCTAACATGAAACCAACAAGTCTGTATGGTCTCTGGTGATGATTATTGAGGTGAGGTGTAGCCTAAAAGAAATGCAATATGTGGCAGAGTCATTCACCTAATAGATTGCAATATGTGGCAGAGTCATTCACCTAATAGATAGCCAAATGTTGGCTCTGACTGTCTGCAAAACTACCAAGTTAACTTTGACGCTTTTATAGAAGAGATTTAAATGACCCCTTTTCTTTTAGCAAGGACATATTTTTCCTACCACATGTAGCCTGTTTTGGGTCAAAAAACAAATGTAATGTAATGGTCAATCCGGCTCTATTAAATAACTATTTTTTTTCTTTAACTCACAACAATCTGAACAATAGTTTTGACCAGGGCCATACCACTCACTGTAAACGAATATATAGTTTTACCTTATGCAATGTAACTCTGTGGTTACTTTGTGGCAGTTGTGTCGATAACCTGTGTAGTTAATTCGGCCCAGGCAGGACTGCAGGGAGTGCCTCTGGCCTCTGGAGAGGCGCCTGTGCTACTGTATCAGAATGTATCCACTGAAACCACACTGGGGCTCAACAGGCAAAGGCACATGCATGGATTAAAGTGACAGCATATAATGCACTACTGGTGATAAAGTTACCACCGCCCAGGTGAAAGGTCAGACAACTAGTAAATAATAGGTTATTGATATGTGGGCAAATTGTTTGAAAGCAAATCAATTATCAAAGATGTATTTTGAGTTTTGTACCACAGATTTGTTACCTTTAAACTTTTTTGTGATCAAGTATTATCCGCAAGTTTTTTTTCTTTTTTTTCTTTTTGTTGAACAGATAAGCAGTCACACACAAATACGTCCTCTTATCCTTGATTGAGGAAGCAAGCATCCATGTGAATTGTGTGCTCATAAATGTCACCGATGACAACACCAGCGCAACTACTAACTAACTCTGCAGTAATTGTGAGTAACCAGAATAGGTCTTCAACCAGAGCCACATGTAAATATATGTTTCTGTCTTCAACCAGTAGGCAATCCCAAACATTCTACCTCCTATGTTCCATTAAGGTTCAGACCTCTCGGTGTTTGGCCTTGGTATGGTATTACAGTAGCAGGGCTAGCCTACAATAAAAATAGCATTTACTATTATTACAATAATCGTAATCATTATGGCTCTAAGGTTAATCCTAATAATAATCCTAATAATCATATTTTATTATATACAATAGGTCTACATGTAGGACATTATTATAATACAATAGCAATGTAATTAATTACAATAACATTTGCTTATCAAACTTAACATGTTTTATTATGTGTACAAATAAGAGTACAACTTTTGAATTCAGGTCTTAATTATATCAAATGAACCCCAAAAGTCTGTAAAAAGTTATTCTCGAGTAACTGAGTAGCTGTCAACAGAAACCAGACCCTCCAACTAGGGGACCTGCCAATCATGCTCAACGGACCAATAGGATGCTCGCGCGTAAGCTGGTGTGCTCCTCGTTGGTGGTTGGAGCTGCCACTTGAGTTTTCAGTGGGCTGGCTAATTGAAACAGTGAATCCGATGGTTCTCATTCTAGCCACAGCACTTGTGAGATAGGTAGTTAGTTGCCCATTGCCGACTATCCGACGGGAGCGAGAGTGCATGTGAAACAGCAAGAGAAAAGAGTGAGCGAGAAGTAGAAACAAAACGTAAAGGGTGAGACAGAGAGTGAGGAAAGGAAGAAACTTAAGAAACTATGGCCGTATCAGCTACTCCGCCGGTGCTTTCCCCAACATCTACTCCGGGGTCTGGCAGTTTATTCCGCTCTGATCCGCTGTATACAAGCCCAGCCGAGTCCCCGAGACTGACAAGCAGCTTGATCAACTCTTTCATCAGCAGCGGAGGAGGCGGTGGAGGAGGAAATGGAAACGGCACAAGCGGCAATAACGAGTGCAAAATGGTTGAGGTACACGGGGTCAAGGTAGCCTCGTTCAACGTGGACGGTCAAGAACTCATCTGCCTGCCGCAGGTCTTCGACCTCTTCCTGAAACATCTGGTCGGGGGTCTGCACACCGTCTACACCAAGCTGAAGCGGCTGGATATATGCCCCGTCGTGTGCACAGTGGAGCAGGTCCGGATTCTGCGGGGGCTTGGGGCTATTCAGCCTGGGGTGAATCGCTGCAAACTCATCACCCGCAAGGACTTCGAAGCGCTCTACAACGACTGCACCAATGCCAGGTTAGTTGCATGTGTTTTGGTCTCTTCATTTCTCAAATGCCCGCCTCACTGTTGAATGTTTTCAACTAACTTTTTTGTAGATGTACCAATTGAAGTTCCTCAAAATGTGTAGTAAATGTTGCATTAGGCTGCTGCGTATTTCAGCACTGTTACATGTGCTGAAAGACAAAACAATCATGAGAAAAATGATAGTTAGGATGCTATATTATTACTAAACATCAAAGTATTGTGCAAAGTTAGTTCAGTCATTGACAACTTCTGTACCACATCACTCTCTCTCTCTCAAAGACACACACACACACACACACACACACACACACACACACACACACACACACACACACACACACACACACACACACACACACACACTGAACTATCTAAGTATAAGCTACAATTGTTCCATATCCATTTTATAGACAGAGAAGTATGAGCAAAGTAGTTTAGTTGTTCATAACTTCTACCTCCCCCCACACACACCTATAAGCCATCTCCCTAAAACCAAACACGTTTAACCCCCATAGCACCAGCTCATTGATTAATAATTTATGCAAAGCACTAGATCATGTATTTTCCACATTATTTTGCAAAGAGGAAAATAACTTTGAATTCTATAGCCCCTCTTCTAATTCTGTAGAACTCAATATGATTATTTTTCAGAATAAGAATACGTGGCAAAGTGTTTAGCCTACATTAGGAATATGTTCCTTTCACTGTCCCATAAATAATATTCTGTTGTCAAACTGGTGTAGCCTACTTTTGTCACCTTCAATGTGCTGCAACATACTTTTCCTATAAAGCTTAATTTGTAGTCAGATCACAACAAGAACACAAACATGACAACACTAAGCCTATTGCGTGATTGTTAATTTAGAATATTTATTGGGAATTTCAGTAAGAAGAATTGTATTCTTGTAGTTTGTTAAAGAACGTCTCACTATTCTTGATGACCATAAGGATAGGCTATGCCATTCCAGCGTCTTTCAGGAGCAGTAGAGTAAAGGTTGTCGTATCTGAAATCCAGCTCCTTCAGTTAAATTCCTCAAATCTAACTGACTGTAAGTTGATTTGAATACCTTACATATCACTGCCATAAGCACGCAAACATTTGTGTCTGCTTCTCCGTTGCTAAATGAACATAAATTAAACGGACCTTTGTGTCTCTCCATTAGGCCCATAACCAGTGAGATAATAGAAATAAAAGTAAGAATGATGAGAGAAGTTTAAGATGTGGATTTGACCTAATGAGGCGGGCTACACTGGTCATTTACATTTACATTTTAGCAGACGCTCTTATCCAGAGCGACTTACAGGAGCAATTAGGGTTAAGTGCCTTGCTTAAGGGCACATCGACAGATTTTTCACCTAGTCGGCTCGGGGATTAGAACCAGCGACCTTTCGTTACTGGCACAACGCTCTTACCCACTAAGCTACATGGCGCCCATAATCATGAATATTGACTTACAGCATGGTGACGCACGGTTTTATATTTTATTTCTGTCTCTGAATAATAAATATATATATCTGTGTCAGTTAAAGCAGGACAAACTATGCTAAAAATATATATTTTTAGGCATCTCTCCTCTCACTTTCCCCTCGAATTGATCTTCAAACCGCGCACGGTGCTGGCTGCGGCTGCAGATGTTGCTTGTGTGTTTAATAAATCAATGGGACAGATCTGAATGAATCACCTCGGATGGATTCTCTGCTTGGTTTGATGTCTAGATGTTATTCTTAGCTTGTTATCATGACAGATGCATTAGTGTTCCCATACAATGTCAGTGGAGGAAAATAACTAAAAAGGGACCAGTGCTCTCTTTCCCTAAGACCTTTAGCATTCCGAACCTCAGGGGTTTTTGCCTCATTGTCTAGTTGTACATAATTGCAACTTTTTTTCTCCAGCGCAGCTCCCCCGGCTACAGCGACAATAGGCCATGTTGATTATGCACAACAAAAGAGGAGGCTGACAATTCAATACAAAGACAGGATTTTCACATGTGAAAATAAACATGACAAAAAGTTATCTTGAATAGAAGCTGGACCCTCCAATGCGCATCAGGGTTTCTGTAAGACAAGGCACAACTGATGTTTGGAATTAAATAACGATAGGATAATAATTATATAGGCTAATAATAATAGCCTAATAATTATAATTTGTGAAAGCAAAATATTAATACATTTGTAGAAAAGTTGTAATAGTGTTTGTCCCGCTGTCACAACACACACTGAAGTTATTCACTCGGAAAATCTCAGCAAAAATACCTTATAATATTATTTTCCAACCATATGATTGAATTTTCTCTTAATTAATTATTCGTCTAAAATGTAAACGCTGTTGCACAATTTATTTGCTCAGAGAACAACACTTTTTGGATTGTTTTCTATTTCGCAATTTGTCAACAAATCGTCATATGGCATCTTGACCATGACAATGTGAAATCAAATATGATTCAATTTCTGACGCATTTGAGGCTCAATCGAGTGAGACTTGTCAGTTATGCCAAGTCTGACATATTTTGATGGGAGCGGTATTGATTACAGATAAAGTGGACAATTGTCCAGTAGGAGTAAGCCTATAGGGCAGGCTATTGACTTCTATTTTTTTTTTGCAGAGAATTATAAGACATTTTAAGGGTTTCAGAGGCAGTCTCTCACTTTAAGACTGCATCCAAGTTAACACAAATCAGTATTTGCAAGAGGCTATTTGTCTACTTTATTTAACATACTTTAAAAAAGTAAAATGTATGATTTTAAAACGTCGGTCTTACCCATATCTGATACTTTTCAATTAAACATCCAGTTGTCAAGAAAGGGGTTTAAGATTATTGTATCTCCCGGTGGTGAGTTTGGTGCGTAATTGGCAATGGAGAGCATGGAGAGGATAAAACGATCTTTAAAATATGTCCTCAACACGAGCTAGGCTACGCACACACACACACACACACACACACACACACACACACACACACACTCACTCACTCACTCACTCACTTTCAATTGGAGATCATCTCAGTCGGTGTTATGTTTGGTGAGGAATATTGATGATATTTTACAGAGGGATCACTGAGAGATGGGGAGAGGCAGAGGGATGGTGGGAGAGGGGGAGGCGGGAAGATGTTACTATTTCCAGATGGTCAGTTTGGGCAAGATTCGGTAATTAACGTTTTAGCACCCCCCTCCCCATACAATCCCCTGGATCTATTATTAGGTTCGACTTTGAGCTAAATCAATCTGTCGCACTCGTCAAATCAACCCACGAGAGAGAGATAATGGAAGACGGAGAGATAGATGTAAATATTAGCCTATTAAATAGCGTTATTTTTTATTTTGGGATTCGAATTTTACTAGTTAGTAATACACTGCAGTGTGGAAGGTTATAGCGTACGCTATGTATCCCTACCACTCACTTCACAAAGATTGCAGCCTCTGACTGGTAATGAAATTGCCTCAGCAATGGGCTGCAAGAGAATTGAATTTGCACCTCGGACTCGGTGCTTTACAGCTAACCTGCCTGCGCGCGCCCATCGGAACGCTGTTTTTATAGTCAGATTTAAACATCATCCACTGTCCCATCACCAGATGGTTGTAACTAACGTGTGCAAACAGGCCTATCCCGCCTCTTTCCCCCTTTTATTTGGCGAAGTGAGGGGAAAGGGAGGGAAAGAGAACGTGTGCATATCCTTGTACTACCCCACCGGTGGACGCAGGAAGCCTGTGAACGGGAATAGGGGATAGAGTCATTGGGAGATATCAGGATAGTCATCAAAACTTCTCGACAGAACCTTTAGCACTGACACGGCCAATTTCAAAACGGGAAAAATGTTCAAATCAGCAAAGGCAGCACTTAGTGGGCTCCTTTTATGATATCTCAGCTGCAATTGATCTCCGGGTTTTTATTGCATTCATTATTTATTAAAAATAATTTGCAAGCTAAACATAACGCTAAACTAGTTTGCACTTGGGGACTGCACTTAGGAAATTGAATGGAAATTACATTAGAGATGAACATCTGTGCTGTTTTTCCACTCTCTGTTTATGGGCGAGTGTTTCTTCTCTTTAAATGCAGATGACTGTGAGGGACAGGAGATAGCTGCTGAGGAGGGCAGAGAGGTCTTTAAACATTACTCCTCTAAATGAGATGAAATAGGTTCCTCAAGGCTCAATGAGGCATCAACCCATCACCCCTAATCATACATTTTGGTTAGAAATCAATGAAAAGTTAACTTTAATCATAATTAATGATAAGCTTATCAGTTTTTAGAAAGCCAAACAGAATTAGCTTCTTCTTTCCTTATTTTAAGTCATTCATCTAGAAAGTATTGCTTTAATTCCGTGGGATGCCTGGAGGTCTAATCTTACATCACATAACAAGACAAACTAATGCAGTTTAAACATTACACATCCCAGCTGCACATTGTAACACCACTTAAGGTTTCCTAATAATTTTTTACAGATCTGATTTTCTGCATGATGGTAATCTGTGTGGCTAAATGTGATGTTATAATTTTTTCGGTCAGCTCTATTCTTAATTGGAATATTAGTGGATGAGTAGGCATACATTGGCCAAACCACTGTCTTTTCCTTTGCTGGTGTTTGTGTGGTGAATCAATACATTCTTTTTTTGTTCTGAAGCCTGGTCCCCACAGTGTCCTAAACTGCATGTTGATAGAGAATACCACAGTGATGTCTGGGTGAAATCAGAGACCATCAGAGACAGATGGAATTGATGACGGAAGTACAGTAACTTGTGTGTATAACAGGTTCATTTTCGCCATCTGCCTAACTTTGTGTGTGTGTAGTGGTGTGGTTGTCAGTGTGTGTTGGCCAGTCTTGACTGGTCCATATGGACAGCTCCCTGCCTGTAGCCTAGCCCTGGGCAGCGGTACCCCCGGTCGAGCGCGCCACCCAAGACACCCCCGTCTCCTCTAATCTCCTCAATCAGCAGAAAGATTGTCACTCTAGAACCACCACCACTCCTTAATGTCAGCCATAAATTATACACAGGCTTCTTTTTCAGCTTGATTTTATTACATATCTGCTCCCACTGGCCTTTCTACTTTAAATAATAAATTAACCCCGCTTGATGTGAAGAGTGGCCACCAAGCGCTGTCAAAGCTCTGCGCTCTGGAGAGATCAGCCTCATTAAATAGTGAATGAATGAATTTGTTTTTCTGTTTAGATGGCATTAAGCATGGCCCCCTGTGCATGGCTCTCTCCTGCTCTGTTTCTATTTGTTTGTGTGTGTGTCTGTTGGTGTTTCGATGCCTGACTGTGGGCTCTGAGTGTGTGAGTGTTTTATTTCCGTCTGACTGACAGCCAGACAGGAGACTTTCACACACAGGAGACGTGGTCTGGACTGGGCTTACTGAGCCTACTGTTGCTGCAGAGTTACGCAGGACACTCACATTAGTCTAGATAATAGGAAAAAGGTATTCACTGTGTAATGGTTTGGCTGCAGGGCTTCCTGGTAGTTCCCTATTTGACTAATGTAGCTACAGTAATAGTAATAGTTTAATTATTCAGTTTAAGATATTAGTTGTGTCTGTGAAGACATGCTTAAACTCTCTGGCACCCATTTTAATGAGTATTCTTTTTTTAGGTAATTAAAAGAATTAAAGAAATATGATCTTTATTATTGGGTTAATTGAGAAAATAATTTAGTCAGACTTTTCCCCCATTTCCTTTAAAAAAAACTTTTCTGTGAACATTACAACATCCCAACCTTTCCCCATGTGAGATTTATGGCACTCCGTTGTAAAAGCAATGGTTGAAATACTTAGATATTTTTATGACTGGGGTTAGCTTGCCGCGAGAGAGGGAGCCCGAGAGTGTGTGTCTGAGTGTGTGCATATGTTTGTGCGTGGTGTGTCTGAGAGAACGCTTCCGAGGTATTTTAAAACAACCTGTGGCCATGCGATATCTCATGAATGTTGGCGAGCGCCTGTTCCAAGCCACAGCTCTTTAATAACTAGTCCTATGCGTAACCAATGAATTAGAGGCAAAGCAAAGACACATGAGATCAATTAGGGATGGAATTGTACCACTACACTCTCCGCACATGGACCTCGTGCACGTTTATTGGAACATGTTTCAGAAGTAGTAAAATTTCATAATCATGAGCACTAATCATATTTTTTCTCCTACTATATTGTTCATGAGTTTCATAATAATATATATATTTAGTTAAATGTTCTTTGTAGTTTTTCCACAATAAATAGAGGGTGAATGTGCATTTTAATTGGCCTGGGCCTGAGCCTGCTGACAATGGAAAGGTGGAGAGCTGAGAGCGTCAGCATGTGTGAGATGCATGAGGGAGATATGTCTGTGCCTATCTGTTTATATGTGTGTGTGTGTTTGTATGTCGATATGTTTTCATGTGTGGTTGGTGTATGTTGTGTGTGGCGTATGTTGGAGGGGGGGGCGGGGTAAACGTGACAGATGGAGGAGGCCTGTCAAGTCTCTCGCTGGGGGAGAAATGACATCCACCTTCTCTACCTAATGTAGGAGACCAGAAAAAACCTGAGCCCACTGGTGTCATTTTGACTTTGGGAAGATCTCCTTCCTGGGCTTAATGACACATCTGCAGCCGGGCTATATTTATTACAGTCATGTAGAATAAAATTGATTGTCTCCTAAAATTAATTTTGGGTTTGCCTCTAGCAGTGCTTTAATGGAGGACACTAGGCTCCATGCAGGAGTATTGTTTAATCACTTTAATATCACAGCCCCCAGGACAGCCGAGATAATTGTACAAACGAACATAGAAATATGTATCTCTAACTTTTATGATTGAATTATGCAAATGACTCATCTCCTGCCCTTCCAAGCACTAATCATCTAATTAGGAGTGATGTTTTAAATGGTTGTTTTTGGATGGGGATATGGGAGAAGCAGGGAGCAGAAAATTGAATGTGACGTTAAAATCGGCACAGTAGTTTGTACCGGAAAAGCTGGTGTTTTCCTATCCCCCTCCCTCTCTCTATTGTGTGCTTGGAGTCGTGGGCTCATTAGTGGAGTTTTGTAAGACATTTTACGAGCTTGATACTTAAGACCCTTAATCTTTAATCGTTTTTTGCAGTTTTGATTAATTGCGTTCCTGCTCAGATTATTTCCTTTGACACAGAGCTGTTGGACGTGGTGGTGTGGGCGCAGACAGACAGAGAGAGGCGTGCAGTGCTCTGCTGCTGGAACTCAATGCAGTTGAAGAAATGCGAACTAGCGTCCCAATTACACAGATGAATATTTTATGATGTGTTTAGCAGTGTGTGCTCTTTTTCCCCTCCGTGCTTAGCAGCTGGTGGCCCTTTTTGATGATGCGTTTAAGCAGCTGACTCTGGATGCAAGGAAGCTACAATAACAATGTTAGCCATGCAGACTCAGGACAGCACAGAGCCCAAGCTCTCGCTCTGAGTTCCATATAAAAAAAAAAGAGATCATCCGAACAAAACGCAAAAAGCCCTGTGCCTCCCTCTGTGGATCTGTGTTTACATTTGTCTCATGAATCTCTGACATCTGGAGGCAATAACCCAGGGTTCTACCTCCTGTACTGCAGGGCGTACTGCAGCGCTCCACGTCTCTATTGATGGGGTCACCTGAAGAGCAGCAGCCCTCATCCCCATGCCCCCTCCCACAGAAACACTGTCAGTCTGACCATGGGAGCCTATGGAGAGGACCACAATACGTTTTCAATCAGCAGCAGAATTTAGATCCGGTGACTGAATTGTGATCATAAATGCCACGGTGACCCTGTCATTTTTTTATCTTGTCGTCTTCATCACGTTGCTCATAAGAGCACATGTGATGTGTTATGTTTGATGTTGACCTGTGACCTTCAGGGAGGAAGTAAGTAATTTAATGTGTGTGTGCATGTGCACTGTATGCATTTACTAAACATACCAATATGGAAGTATGAGGAAATGGAAAGCTAGATATTTTTGCTCTGACAGTGGACAAAAGTGGTCCGGAAAACGTGATACATTTCCATTTCCTGATCCTACTGATCACCCAAATCACACAGGTGGGGAGAAAGCAGTGTCAGGGGCTAGAATATCAAAAGGAAATAAGGTAAGAATGAAATAGGGAGGTAGAGAGGGATGGAGGCAGGGAGGAGGAGTGAAAGATGTGCTCAGTGTGCCTCTTTTGGTCTGGGTTAGATCAAGAGGAGCTCTGGGTATGTGATGACATCATTGCCAGTTTTCATGTTCTTGCGGGATCCTTGAGGGATTTATCCCCCATCTACCCAGAGAAGCCTGGCTCCAATTACTCACTGAGAGTGCCCTGCCTGGGCCGGCCCGGTGAAAACACATGGCTTGATCCATCCGGAAGCCTGTTTCAAAGCACTTCAACCACAACACCAACCACCTCTTGGAATTTAACTTATGAGGCGGATACCCTTCTCCTAAACACACATCTTTAAACATCCTGAAATGTAACCAAAACTTTCCTCAGTGTTTTCGCTAATGACAGCATTAGTTCCTTGAAGGGGATACGTCAGTTTGTTATGTGGCGTAGTGTTTGTGGTCAATGTCCGCTATTGTCTGTGTAGTGACTGAAATGTGACTAAGGGCTTACAGCTACTGGAGTGATTGCAGGGAGAGATCTTATCTTTTCTCTGTGAAGGTGAACCTACTGCACTACTGAACTCCCTGACGCTCCCCACCTCCCACCCAAACAAGAGACTCATTTCTATTAAGCACCAGACTCCCCTATAACTCCTACAAAAGGCAACACTGGGCCGTGTCCAATTTCATTTTTATTCATACCCATTTTATTTAAAGGAGTGTTTAGGGTCTATATGGGCGGCTTAAAGGAGGACTGTTACATCGCCTTTTTACTGAGACCATCCGTCTTCCCCTGAACCACCTCACAACATGCTATTTTTCTCCCTCCCTCCCCTGTGGTGGGGCCATTATAAGGTAGTGTGCGAGTTTCCATTTGCCTACAGTAAATAGACTGTTGGGTGTCTGTGGAAAATAAATATATTGGGCAGCACTCTTTTAAAAGGCATCAGGCCGGCGAGGAGGAGCCTTTACAGCAGAAGGCTGGAGGATTGATTTATCTGCTGCGCTGTAATGACTGCAGATGTGGATCTGTTATTCTAGATGAGCAGTGAACTTGATGAGTTGATAACGTGGGCCGAAGCCCAGCCTGCTTTTAATTACTGATCAGGAATGTATTGGTGCAGGCTTTTGATTTAGAGGTGAGGGTGGCGGGTTCACAGATACCCCCCCCCCCCCCCCCCCCCCCACTTCCCCCCTCACTCTCCCTTTCTGTAGGGCTGGATAGGTGACCTTGCCTCTTTTGTCTCTTCTTGACAGAGGCAGTTTTTAAATGGCTTCAGTCAGATCAGAGTGGAGCTGAGAGGAAGCGTGTGTCTTTCTGGTTAAGTCAGGAGGAATCTGTCACTGCTGCATTGTCTTCATGTTGCTTCTGGACTGTACCCTTCACGATCTGGTTAAGATCTCTGTATCAAATCCTTCCAGCACTCATCTTTTCTGTGTACAGCATAATGACTGGAAGGCCCCCACCTCCCCACTGCTTCCCGACCACCTCACAAGGGTAGGGAATGGGAATGCTTGATGGAAGTTCATCCGGACTCCTTGTGTTTTCTGTGTTTGTTTCTGTGCCGCTGTGTGATTCTCTGCAGAATGAAGGAAGGTATTTTTAATGAGAGGAGAGGCGAAACGGGGCCTCTGCTTGATTGAAACCATGCAGGAGATTGGAACCACTAACGAAGCAGGTTATTTAGATGTTTATTTGCTGTTGTGACTTCCATGTCTTAATAGGCCCGGAGAAGATGAGTGTTGGGATGGGGCTGTAGCCAATCCGATAGAGGCTTTACAGCACTCCCACGCCACTCCCCGATAATACCAGGCATTGAGGTTATGACCGTGGGAAGTCTGTGTATACTCTAAACACACTCTCTTTCACACACATGCAGACACACACACACACACAATATGACACTTTCACACACGATACTCAATTGCAGATGCAGTACCATATGGATACTCTTCCCTTCCACCTCAATGTTGAGAGAATATGGGTGCCATTTCACTAATGGATTGTGAGGTAGCTTCACGTCATCACACAGTTCCACACCTGCCCCTGTTCTACAGTCTAAACCGCAGTCCCCCTCCCCTCTGAGGTGGGTGGCAGCCTGACTAGAACTAGGCCTCTCAGTGAAGAGATCCCCACAATGTAACCTGATCAGCAACACGCTTTTATCTCACTGAAAGCCTTTCTGAGGAGAGGGCTTGGAGAGGTCAGTGTGTGTGTGTTGGCTGGGGTGGGGTGGGTAAGGTTGGGGAGGAGGGCACCCTCTTATGAAAACAATCAGGCCCAGTGAGGTTTCATTACAGGGTAATGTCTCACCAAATTGTTCCAGGTAGTTAAAATGAAATGAAGTGAATTAGGGAAAAGGGGGAGAGAATGCAGAGCGCTTTATTGCTTTCCTTTGAAGGCACGATTACAATAATCTCCTTCAGCGTCGAGTCTGCCTTGGATAACATATAAAATAGGAGGTGTGTATGTGTTTGTCTATGTGTGTGTGAGGTCAAGGGTTACGGTGTCGAGTGTATTCCTGTCTCTCTCTGTGCACTGTGTCTAAATATCCAGTTTAGTTTTGTGCCCCGCTGTCCTCTGTTTTACCCCTGTGTGTTTGTGGAAGTATGAATGTTCCATAGTCTTTCGTGTGGTGGTGTTAATGTGTCAGAGAGAAATCCTCAAAGAATCTAGCTGTCTAATTTTGGTAGATATCCACCTCAATTATTGTTTTTTGAACCACGTGTGCAAAAAATTAATAATATAATTCCTAAAGAATAATACTAATTGATGGTGTAAATAAGTATTTCAGAGCACAACAGTAAAGACCAGGGAATTGCAGGTTCCTATTCAAGGTGGGATAACTGCTTCCCTTACATTGACTTTAACAGCCCAGTTATGTTAGAGAAGACAGTGAAATTAAATAGTATCTGAAGAAGATGCTTCTTTTCTATGACAACAGCCGAGGCTCATGACAGATGTCCTGTGACACTCCCTGCTGCAGCAGGGGCTTGTGGGTAATGGCAGGGTCCGGTTTTTGATGTTTTATTGAAAGATCACTCCGGCTGCTCTGGCTTTTCACCGGACCGTAAATCAGACCCATCCATGTAGGGCTGTCCTGTCCCGCTCCGGCCCCGCCTGTGCTTTATGTCATTCTGGGGCAAGAGGGGCCAAAGAACCCGTCAATCAACCTCTTCCCCAATCAGAGGCAGCCCGTGTCAGGGACGGGACAACCGGGGGCCCAGGGTAGCGGATCTCACTATCTCAAGCATTTGTACCTAGTTAAAGAAGCAGAATTGACTGTGTGTGTACGCATGTCTGTGTGTGCCGGCCTCCCTAAGACTAAGGCAAAGCAACTGGCGAAGTACTGTTCTGTTTCTGTTGTTATGGGCAGCCTAGCTGTCTTGTTTCCAAGACCTTTGAAATGTTTGAATCCTTCTTAATGTAATTTAATTTATGGATTAAAATAAAGTATAAAAATGTGTGTGTGTATGTGGGAAAGTGTGTGTGTGTGTTGTTCAAGCATGTGGGCCCTGTCCACTTTAGCGACTGGAGTCTTCTCTTCATTGAAAACTGCTGAGACGGCACCATAGCCATCATTTTCCTACTGCTCTCCTTCAATGGCTGTTAATGAGTGAGTTGATGTAGTTGAACATTTAGTTAATAAATATGTCAGACTTTTACCACTCTGTTTTTTCTCTTCCTCTGCCCCCTCCTCTTTCCTCCCTCGTGTCTGTCGCGCATTTTCTCGGTATGCTGAGAAATTGTAATTAGTTTTAGATTTACGCTACGATGACAGACAGTGGTGAATAAATAGAGGTTAAACACACAATTTACATATTAATTTCATGATTCATTTAATCAATGATTTATGTGGGTATAGATTGCTTTTAATCCCTTCAAGACAGCGGTGTTTTCCTCTCCTCTCCTCTCCTCTCCTCTGCTCTGCTCTTCACCAAGCATGACAGAATAGAGTGGTTTGCTCAAGCACTCTCTATCTCTCTCCTCTCTCTATCTCTCTCCTCTGTCTTTCTCTCCGTCTGCTGTTCAGTGACTTGGAGAGGAATGTGAGTCGAATGGCTCCAAACGGCACTCCTAATTGGTTTAATTTTTCAGCGTGTGCACCGGTCCTGACACTCGCTTATGGAACACCATTCCTCCGGCACGCTGTGATCCCTCCGCTCTCTTCGGGTCTCTCTCCCTCTCCCTCTCTCTCTCTATCCCTCTCTCCCACTACTCAACCACGCTCACTCGTTGACGATCTTCAAGTCTCAAGCCGAGAAACGTTAATAATGAAGTAATCATCACAATCGTTAAATTGATGATAATGAAGATCCCAGTAATAATGATTGGTGGCAGTGGTTGTGTATTCATAACCAATCTCTGCAGAGCACTGTAATTTAGCCATGATTGAGATGCACTTTGAATCCTCGACTTGTTCCATTCGGCGGCCTGAAGGAATTCAAATATTACAGATGGAACGCAATATTATACTTTTTTTGCATTAGCATGATGTTGTCAAGTATTGGTTTTGATGACAAGAAGCTACAAGCTTCTCATCATTAATGTATGATTAGTAAGCAGAAGCGCTGTCGCCGCTCCTAACCCTAGGGTGGTTTTGATCTGTTCTGAGGGTATGGTGGGAGATTTGGGAGCCATCAATTCAGTGCACTCTATTTTCCCCTCTGTGTGACCTTTGAACCGGGCCAGAGAGAGGCCTCTTGATGTTTATTCTCTGATCCTCCACTCAAGTCCGATCAATTAGGAGTCCTTTGGACACTGGTGTTTAAAGGAAAGCCAGTCTCACAGCACAGCCAAGCTCTACCTAGCCTAGCAGGCAGGAGCTTTATAGACTAATGACTGCACACACGGGGCCCAGATTCCCTACTCTCCACGCACCTCTGACATTTGTTCCCGGGAAATTATTCATACTTTATCTTGTGGAGATGGCAGACTGTGTTTTTTTATATATCAGGACAACAATTGGATTGTGCAGCCGGGGAGGAAAAAAATGGTAATTGAGTATTTTATCAGACACTTCCGCCAAACAGACTTTTGTAAGTCGTAAATGAAGATTAAAGCTCTTGTTGGCAGAGAGGGAACAAATTGGAATGATTTATTATTGGTGACATCAATATGTCACAGCTCTGGAAACAGAATGAGGAGAAGGGGAGAGATGCTGAGCGAGAGAGAGAGAGAGAGAGAGGGAGGGGAGGGGAGGAGGGCGAGAGGAGGAGTGAGATAGCTTCTCTCTCTGAGGAAGGTAAATAATGTGCTTTAATTATTTGCCCTCAGACAGACACACAGACAGGGCTGTTGAAAGGCAGCAGGGCTGATACTGTCATAGGCTGTGCTTTAGGGACGCTGTGAATGTTCCCAGAGCTAATGGAGGTGTGTGTGTGACCCAGGCGGCCGTGGTCCCAGCCCAGCGTGGTGATGGGCATGGCAGGGACTGATGAAGACACAGTAGGGAGGGGAAGCAGGTAATTGGGCTGTGTTAACCTCCTCTGCCTCCTCATCCATCTAACAGGTGTTGGAGCTTTGTTATCAGCATCGTTGATATGAGAAGTCAGTCCATTTGTCATTCAATCATTTAATCAATCAGCCAACCACTGTCACTCTGTTTGAGATTTATGGATGGTGTTACATTGCCAGTTGTATTTCAAAGATAACAAGCTCGACTGTTTGCTGGGATTTCTGTGATTGAAATCAAAGAAGCATAATCATTGGAAGTGGATAACATGGAGAGTCCAACTAGCTGTGTTTTTGATAAATGCCCTTGTCAGAGGTGCTGTAGTGGGGACTCACTAAGCAATGTACCATTCATACCTGTACTCTAGCGTAACTTAAAGATCAGAACTGTGCACAGTACAAATGCAGTTCTGTTTTTTTTTTTTATCTGCTTTTGATCATTTCACCAGACAATGGTTCATTGCTATCTTGTATGTTCTGTGTTTTTCACCACAAGGAAGTTCTGGAGAAAGCAGCTAGATTCAATGTTAAAGTTGAGAGAGAGAGAGAGAGAGAGAGAGAGAGAAGAGAGAGAGAGAGAGAGAGAGGAGAGAGAGAGCGAGAGAGAGAGAGCTCTCTCTCCTCTCGCGCTCTCCTCCTCTCTCTCTCGTACTCTCTGCTGCTCGCTCCTCTCTCTCTCTCGCTCTCGCTTTCCCTCTCTCTCTCTCTCTCTCTCATCTCTGCTCTCTCTCTCTCTCTCTCCCTGCTCTCTCTCTCTCTTCCTCTCTCTCTCTCTCTCTCTCTCTCGCGCTCTCCTCCTCTCTCCTCTCTCTCGCTCTCCTCTCTCTCTCTCTCTCAGCTCCTCTCTCTGCGCTCTTCGATCCGACGATAGAGAGCTCTCTCTTCTTTGGAGACGAGAGAGAGAGATTCTGTAAAGGAATTGATGGCCATCACAGGGCTGAGGATAACTGTTAATTTTCTACTATTCTTCATTACTGTATTTCTAACAACACTGAGACAGCCTCCATAAAACATTTACAGTAAACATGTCCTGCAGGGAATTAGCCACAGCAGACAGTACCCCTGGCCCACTGATATAACTGGCCACAGCGGCTGAGACGTGATCCAGGTGTCAATGAGATGCCAGGCTATTGGTGGATACTCTGGGGCAGGCGGCAGCCAGGCCAACCACAGAAGCCCATACAGACAGCAGCAGTCCCTGTGCTGCATTAAAACCCTTCCCTCTGCCCCCATTCTCAAAAACACAACCACAGGCACATTTCCTTTACGAGCCCCTGGTAGCCTTTTACATGGACCATAATAGCATGGACCACTGTGTTTATAGCCTTGTGCGCATGTGGTTATGTGTGTGCATGATGTGTGTGTGTGGATACACCAGAGAATGGAAATGAGTTGGAATATTACATTTTTTGGGGACTGGTACATATTTTATTCTGGTGTAGTCAGTGACATTCGTGTACAGTGAAAAAAATTACCTTCAACAATAGTGAGAGATGTTGTGTCTAGATGTTTGGGTTAGTTTCTGTGGTTGCTCTATGGAGCGACGAGGTCGGTCTATCTGATCTGATGGTATGTGCAATGCCAGATTATCTGAGTGGCACAGTCTGCACTGCGGTCGGACACTGAACATCCTCCCACAAACCACACCAGACACCAGCCGACAACAACAAGTCCTTAAGACCAGTACTACTTTCTCTCTTCATCTCTCTCTCTTTATCTCTCTCTTTTTATCTCTCTCTCTTTATTTTTCTCTCTCACACGCTCTCTCGCTCTCTCTCTCTTTATCTCTCTCTCTCTCCCTTTCTTTCTCTCTCTCTTTATCTCTCTCTCTCTCTTTATCTTGCTCTCTCTTTATCTCTCTCTCTTTATCTCGCTCTCTCTTCCTTTCTTTGTCTATCTCTTTCTCTCTTCTCAGGTGTTTATAAAAAAGTCTAAACAAACATGCGCCAATCTTCCTGTTGAAATACTGTGGATGTGAATCTCCTGTGAGATCTCTAGCCACCTCTTGTCTAGTTCCATTGTTTACGTTGTCTAGACCTATCTCCAATCTGACGCTGAAGGACAACCGTGTCATAAAGCGCTGTGGGTTTGACAGATTTGTATAATGTTGCGTGTGAATTAAAAGGCCCTCTTTCTGAACTGCAGCAGGTATTTAAATGGACCAGTGAAGAAGGAGGTCAGGGTTGGTGTATACGCAAGGTCACGTTTAAAACACACGGGTTGGAAGGGGCCATAAATCAGAGGCTGCATACGGCTGCCCTCCATACTGCCTGATTTAACACCTGCGCCCAGACCTTCCTTGTCAGGCCCCACGTTCTTTATTACCCTGCTCCTCGCACTCCTTTCACAGATATAGATAGAGTTCACCTTTGAAAAACCCGCAGTAACTCTCTCTCTCTCTTTCCCTTTCCTCCGCGCACGCTTCATCTCTCTGTCTATTTAGCTATCCCCTTTCCCCTTTTACACAATGCCTGCTCATTCACATTTAAAAGTGGTCATTTTTCAAGGATGCAGACTGTGCTACCCTCATGCCTTGATTATGAATTTATGTTTACACAGATTGTGGGAAAAGTGGTAGTTCCTTCTTATATGAAAGATTTGTGTGTGTGTGTGTGTGTGTGTGTTGTGTGTGCGTTAGTGCATATTGCTCTGGATAACCTATTAACTGAGTAAAGGGTAATGTAGAAAAAGCACTGAAAAGCGTTCCTATAAGATTGGCTGCTGGAGTTTTGGTATTAGACCATGTTGGTGGGGTGATACTTGGTAGGTGATGTTTGATGTTGGTATGCTGGTGTTTGTGCAGTTTGATGTGCTCTTGCCACGGGAGGACAAAAGCGTGTACGAGGTTGGGCCTTCTCATTGTGTCTGGTCGAGTGCTTTAATTGAAAAGCGTCCTTCTTCTTCTTTTGGGCAACGTGTCAGTTGTCTGGAGGAATGCCTAGATGTCTGTGGCTCCCTGGTAACCAGCATGAAAAAACAACAACAACTAGCTTTGAAATTAATAATCCACATGAAAAGGCTGGACTTCCTGGGGCTGTCGGGGTGCTAGGCGACCCCTGTCTGTCTCTACTCTCTCAGACAGCAGCCCCATGCTCCCTTAGCCCTGTTTCAGAGGGACACGGTAAGACATGTATTGCTGGTAGTTTTCCTGTTTCAGAGGGAAACAGTAAGACATGTATTGCTGGTAGTTTTCCTGTTTCAGAGGGACACGGTAAGACATGTATTGCTGGTAGTTTTCCTGTTTCAGAGGGACACGGTAAGACATGTATTGCTGGTAGTTTTCCTGTTTCAGAGGGACACGGTAAGACACAGTAAGACATGGCTGGTAGTTTTCCATCGAAGAGTCATAAAACCCACCCTAATGCCGCCAGATGGTCGCCCCTCTCAGTGTCATGCCAACAGAGTCATCAACAGAGGGTCCCACCTTTTTACCCACCAGAGCCACGTTCAACACAGCAGGAAAACAGAAAACATTTCCAAGTCAGTTACAGTATACTCAAAGACAAGGTGGGCTTATGAGGAAGAGACATGCCGCTTCAAGGAGGTGCAAGGAGCCATTATCTAGCCTTGCAGATCAGAAGTAGACTCATCTCATGTGATGAATAATGGAGTCATTCCGGAGGTGTGGGTACAGATCCTTTGTCACCTGTAATGGTCTCTTCCTCCTCCGTGTCCCTGGAATGGAGAGCCCTGGAGGGGACGTATGGCAGGGTATAGGCCTAGGGATGGATGGGCAGGCCTAGGGATGGATGGGCAGGCCTAGGGATGGATGGGCAGGCCTAGGGATGGATGGGCAGGCCTAGGTGGCCTGGCCTACAGTAAAGGGTGTGTGAGTAGGGGCATGATTACTGTGTTGTGATAGTTTTTCTTTTTAAACAGGATATCCTGATTGGACGCAGACTAAAGAATTACATCTGAAAAAGGAAATGAGAATACAGGGCCAGGGAGCAGCAAGTCCAGCCATCATTCTATTGTCCCGGGTGATTGATAGGATCTCGCACCTTTGGTAGAGTTTGGACTATTTTTATATTGTGTGTGTTTTCTGTTTATTTGTGTCAATTCAGCTGGAGATGTATTTTGGTGGTATTCTTAGAACAAAAAAACTGCAGATTATGTGTGTTATTTTGCTGTCTCTACTCTGCATTCAACTCTGAACGTTTTTCCTCCTGAAGACACAAAAAACTAAGGGAGGTAACTTGTCAGTGGTGTATCACTCAAAACCCAGAAACAACCAGTATTTAAAATACGTGGCAAAAAATACCACACCAACTAGTTTGAACAAAACCGTTGTCAAGTCATCCTTTTAGTTTTAAAAATATGAAGTGCTTTTTGAGTGTGTGTGTTCCTCAGCTGCTTTGTCAGGTCCGCCTTAATAACAACCTTCAGAACTTGCCGAGCGTCGGAAGGAATCATAACCACTGACCACCTTGTCAGTGGGCGACGGCAGAGTGCCTGTCAGCAGCTCCATGCATGTCTTGTCGGAGTGTTTAATTACTACGTAAAGTAGTAGAAAGCTCGCTCTATGAGTGCCAGTCAGCCAATCCACATTTTCTTCCTGCCGAAGAGCAACAGAGGCAGAAAGTGCTGGTTTCCTCTCAGGGATGGCACCTTGTAGTAACGCTACATTGTTCTAGCTAAGAATTAGCGTTGCACCACAAAGGGAAGCTAGGCTAACCCAGTGACAGCTGGAACAGCGCCACGCCTCTCCTGTCACATGCAGCTCAATCCACTGGCTGTTTCACTTCACATGGACTTCTCTACCATTGTTATGCTTTCCCACTCCAACAATAGTTCTCAAAATGATGAGTGCTATAATTTTTCTCCTAACACGAACATCTAATTGGATGGTGTCTCTTTAAACCTTGCTGTTAGGCAACAGCCTTGTCAAAACGATGAAAGAAGTGATGAGATTAATATCCTGTGGAGGCTTTTCATGCTGTCACTCTAGAAACCGGGTTTAATCATTGTACACTAGCTGCTTGTGGAAAGTTCTCTTGTTTAGTCACTCGGAACAGTTTTACTTTATGCTCATGAAAGCAGGGCTGGCCTTGTGGACAGTTTGAAAGCATTTATTTTCAATGAATGAATAAAGGAATTAATTTGTTGCAGCCAGGGCATGTTGGTGGCTGGCTGATCAACACATGGTAAATGACCAGCTTTAGTGAGTGGTTAGATGGGAACATGAAATGGTTGAAGTGTAGTCGCTCCAGTGGAAGTCTGTGTCAGATGGAAGGTGGAGATGAGTGGAATGATGGATGGTGAAGGTGAAGGTGGAGGAGGGCTGTTCTGCTGGCAGTGTCGGTGCGAGGTAAGGGTGGTGGGCGCGGGCGGAAAGGAGGCTCAGTGAGACATCACCCTCAGGGTCGGTGACAGAATAGAGGCCTCCAGTTAAAGGCTCATCCTGCTCACCGAGTCTGACATTCTAATCTCAGCTTCACTGTCACCCTCAGCAGAGATGGATATCACCCTGGCCTTATGTATTTAGCAAGGAAATGAATAGCACAGCTGCTCTGACACATGACTTACTTCCTGTTCGCTCCCCTTTTACATCCCCTGTCTTACTCTCTCTCTCTCTCGCCCTCTTTCTATCTCTTTCTTTCTCTTCTTCTCCTTCTCTCACTCTCTTTCCCTCTCTCTCTTTCCATCTGTCTGGCTGGTGGAAGTCCTTTCACAATGCAGGACTTAAGAGGTTCACCATTGGTGTGTGTCTGAATTGTAGAACACTTGCATGGGTCAGTGGTCCTAAGAGTCACCTAAGGGGTTGGGTTTTGGCCTGGGGACTCTGAGGGTGTGCTGGGCTTCTGGCCTCAACTAGCACTGTGGGACGGTATAACTAAATGGTTAGTGGAGAGGAAACACTGAGTTGTGTATTGGACGTTACGATAAGGAGTTTCTTCCTATTGTGTAACTGGGGCATTACTGGTAGTGTGTCTCTGAATCAGTTTAACATGTTTTACCATCTTATCTGCTGTAAATAGTAACTGTAGTTATGTAAATTGTGCTCCTACATAACATACTTAGAATATCAGAGCAATTCTGTAAAAATCCCAGATTTCACAGTTCATTGACTGACATGAGAGAAAAGGAACAATATGAAAATGGTTTGAGCCTGATCAGAGAATGAATGCAATTATGTTGATTATCATAATCAGGTGTTTTCCTTTTTCCCCATATTTTTTCTCCATCTCTCCTCTCTGTCTTTACACACAATTATATTCCAATTCAAAGTAATCCACTTCTGTGCTGAAACTAACAAGCCGTTCTGTTGTTTCTCTCTTCCATGTGCCTGATCCATCCTCTCCAACACGTGTGCTCTTCTCATCAGGTAAGATCGCTGACATCCTTTACAAGCCCCCTGACACACACTTCAGGAGAATGGGTGGAGAGCAATTGTAGAAGAACAGCGTTAGGATAAATAAACACTTCATAACTGCATTTCAACCTAAACCTAAGATGCACTAAGCACACTGCAGCCATAGTGTTGTGTTGTTCAACATTTCAGGTCTTCTAGATTAGACGGCCGGAGAGAGAATGTACTGTAACATAATGTGTGATCCTCTGTCTTCATTTAATAATGATCTTATACTACTGTACCATCTCATCAGTTCTCTGCTGGTGTGTGTAGTGGAGTGTGTCTCACTACTCTTAATACCCACCACTGTCACCCCTGTTTAGGCCGGCGGCATCTTTTATTTTCTTACATGCTTCCTCGACCAGATAATGCACTGGATGACATTTGGTCGGGCTTAATTTACCTCGCTTTGTCACACTTCTCCCAGTAATTGTCTTCTGTGGAGGAGTGTGGTTTTAATTCAAGTAAGTGGTAAAATTGTCAGAGGTGATTTATACACACACCCGTCTCCTCTACCCCCCATCAACACACACACACACACATAGAAACACACACACACACGACACACACACATATACAGTGAAGGAAAAAGGTATTTGATCCCTGAAAAACGCATGTCAAAAATGTTATAAATTGATTTGCATTTTAATGAGGGAAATAAGTATTTGACTCCTCTGCAAAACATGACTTAGTACTTGGTGGCAAAACCGTTGTTGGCAATCACAGAGGTCAGACGTTTCTTGTAGTTGGCCACCAGGTTTGCACACATCTCAGGAGGGATTTTGTTCCACTCCTCTTTGCAGATCTTCTCCAAGTCATTAAGGTTTCGAGGCTGACGTTTGGCAACTCAAACCTTCAGCTCCCTCCACAGATTTTCTATGGGATTAAGGTCTGGAAACTAGCTAGGCCACTCCAGGACCTTAATGTGCTTCTTCTTGAGCCACTCCTTTGTTGCCTTGGCCGTGTGTTTTGGGTCATTGTCATGCTGGAATACCCATCCACGACCCATTTTCAATGCCCTGGCTGAGGGAAGGAGGTTCTCACCCGAGATTTGACGGTACATGGCCCCATTCCATCGTCCCTTTGATGCGGTGAAGTTGTCCTGTCCCCTTAGCAGAAAAACACCTCCAAAGCATAATGTTTCCACCTCCATGTTTGATGGTGGGGATGGTGTTCTTGGGGTCATAGGCAGCATTCCTCCTCCTCCAAACACGGCGAGTTGAGTTGATGCCAAAGAGCTCCATTTTGGTCTCATCTGACCACAACACTTTCACCCAGTTCTCCTCTGAATCATTCAGATGTTCATTGGCAAACTTCAGACGGGCCTGTATATGTGCTTTCTTGAGCAGGGAGACCTTGCGGGCGCTGCAGGATTTCAGTCCTTCACGGTTACCAATTGTTTTCTTGGTGACTATGGTCCCAGCTGCCTTGAGATCATTGACAAGATCCTCCCGTGTAGTTCTGGGCTGAATCCTCACCGTTCTCATGATCATTGCAACTCCACAAGGTGAGATCTTGCATGGAGCCCAAGGCCGAGGGAGATTGACAGGACTTTTGTGTTTCTTCCATTTGCGAATAATCACACCAATTGTTGTCACCTTCTCACCAAGCTGCTTGGCCATGGTCTTTGTAGCCCATTCCAGCCTTGTGTAGGTTTACAATCTTGTCCCTGACATCCTTGGAGAGCTCTTTGGTCTTGGCCATGGTGGAGAGTTTGGAATCTGATTGATTGATTGCTTCTGTTGACAGGTATCTTTTATACAGGTAACAAACTGAGATTAGGAGCACTCCCTTTAAGAGTGTGCTCCTAATCTCAACTCGTTACCTGTATAAAATACACATGGGAGCCAGAAATCTTTCTGATTGAGAGGGGGTCAAATACTTATTTCCCTCATTAAAATGCAAATCAATTTATAACATTTTTGACATGCGTTTTTCTGGATTTTGTTGTTGTTATTCTGTCTCTCACTGTTCAAATAAACCTACCATTAAAATTATAGACCGATCATTTCTCTGTCAGTGGGCAAACGTACAAAATCAGCAGGGGATCAAATACTTTTTTCCCTCACTGTAAACACACACATGCATGCACACACCCCTCTCCTCTACCCCATCAACACATACACACACACACACACACACACACACACACACACACACACACACACACACGTAGAGATGCAGGTCAGACACAAACCTATACCTGTCTCCACTACAAGCAAATTAATTAGACCAAATCACATTCAGCAGCTCCTCCATATTGGCCTTCTATCTGGTGCTGCTGCAGCCATGGAAAAGAAAAATACAGGGACAAGAAATGCCACAATGCTAGAGAAATGCACCTTCTAGATACAAAATAAGCGTTGTTCAATACAGATAACAATGAATATTATAATAGATATTTGTCGTCTTGGTCAACCCCCACCCCAGCACAACGTAATATCATTGCAACAAGCCAAGGTCAGAGGTGAGAATGGCCTCTCTTTCACTAACTGAAAGCACACTGGTATAGTCAATGGAAAGCAGACAGAGGGTTTTAGAGCAACAGCAGGACATGTTATGTTATGTTATGTTAGGTTATGTTACCAATCATAAATACACAGGCTGTATAGTTTTATAGGTGTGCCTTGGACACCGTGGCAAGTTCAGCTTATTAACTCCATATTAAATAATCCTAATTGTTTATATAATTGTTCTAACCACACAGTGGTTGTGCTGTTAGGTATGTTGAATGCCCTCAATTTCTGCTCTTCTTCTGTAGTCCTAGCCCAGATCGATTATAGGAAGACTTGTTTTCTATTGTCATCTGAGCTTAAATGTACCTATTTCTTGACATCTATGCTCAGTGCAAACAATTGCTTTGCTGAAACAATACCCTTTCTTTGCTCCAACAATACTGTGTTCGAAAACATCCTGTTTTCCCTCAAGATGTTATAAAAGTTAATTAAACATCCTATCCTGTCTCCTTATAGAACACAGGCCCAAATGTGAGACTAGTTGGAAAAATGATTAAAGTCTGGCAGTGGAGTGTGAAAAACAGAAAACAGACTCGGTCCATCTGCATACTCAGTTTCTTAACTTTGCTATGACTCCTCGTCTACGACTGGAGAAAAATGAAAACCTGCTGATAAAATACATAAAACACACCATGCAAAATGAAGATATGTTGATAAGATCCATAAAATATTTTAGACATTAGAAAATTTATATAATCTATTGAACTTTAACATCTAAATGATTTGACATGATATCATTGTCATTTATATAGCTTATGCATTAGCATTTGTATTAGTAAATGGATAACAAACCTATATCAGTTTATTAACTGAAGTACACACTGTTTTACTGTGCTCAATAAAACCAAGACTAATTGAGGACACACATTGGAAGAAGTTCTCAACATCATAACTCACTTTGAAAGTCCTGTTGTAACAGTTTCAGTTGTTGTCTCTGGAAGATAAAAGACTCTCTTTGAGGCCACTCCTGTGATTTTAATTAAATAGGGGTCATGTGTATAGTCCACCGCCCACGTTTTAAGGAATTTAATCTTGTGTGTGTGTGTGTGTGTGTGTGTTAGTCCCAAAGTCTCAGCCATGTCACTCACAGCTCTGACCCGCTATGCCCTACGGCTTGGTGTGTCTGAGCCAAGGCGTGCAGGCAGACTGGGCTGGAGGTGAGATTGAAACAGAGACAGGCCTGCCTCTGCATCTGCCCCTTAACCCTATCAATCCCGAGACCCCAGCAAAAATCGGCTTTTCATTTATCAACTTTCATTTATCTACATGTCCAGCCCTTATATTTAGCCTCACAATTAAGTGTTTCACCATTTTCTTTTCAGGACAACCAGGGCTACAAGTAGAACACAAAACAGTTTGACATAAACAGTTGCATTCATGAGTTTTATTGACAAATGTCAAAAAATAAAATAAGTCAGCCAAAGTAAGAAACCTTATAAAAATGAATTTATATGAATGCTGTACAGAACTTGTTTGCTCAGTGGGAAATTAATATCCAACTAGTCAGTGACAACTGTGTGGAGTTTGGAGTTTGTGACAGTAACTATGTGAGCTTATTACAGTATTATAGACACTATGTTCTGGGTTTTCCTATGATTTTCTATGTAGAAGAACCCCTTACCTTCTAACGACTCTTTTGAGCATCAAAACATGTTACATGTGCGTGTTCGTGAGTGTCTCACCTTTTCATAAATATCTTTTAGTAATTTGTAGCTCAAACCATTCGAACTCTACACACGTTTTTGTAAAAGGATCCAGCCCCGGCCTCTTCCGTATCCGCCCTTGTCTCAGAAACACAGATCTAGCTCAGCCACCGTTAATCACAAGTTAATGGATGGTACCAACGGATGCAGAAAAAATATACCAATCTGAAGTTACAATCAAGAAGTCTGTAGCGCAAACACACTATGTTTAAAAGGGGTTGGAAGTCCAAATCGTGCCAGCATCACGGTAGGACTCATTGGGTTAATATAAACAGCCATGAAGGCTGTTTCCCAAGTCTCCTGGCCTCTATCCTCTGTAGCCACACAAATCTGCCAGGAAATATAACCACACTATCGCTGTAGCTTTTCTGTCCCCTCCAAATCTCTGTGTCGTCTGTGACCACTTCACACAGTAGTTGTCTAGCTTCTAATAATTAAAAGCAGGCAATAACTTGAACTTTACCCTTTGACTGTGCGAGTTACACCACTTATTAAGAGTTCACAGCAAGATAGTGGGTGGGAGGGGACCTTTCACTCAGCCCCACGAAAATGACTATTGTTAATGTATTTTGCACCTGACTGATTGTATAACAAAGGGTTCATGGGTAATTATTGCAGATGCTATTCATGTCACTGAAGCGTCATTTAATAGAGAGAGAAGAGAGAGGGAAAGACAGGGATAGAGGGAGAGAGAGAGAGACTTACCGTCATTGAAAACTCCTGAACAAATACAGAGTAATTGGTTTAGGCCAGCAGGGTAATTGGCTCGTTGAAGTTGAAAAAACAATGGCGAGGAAGGGAGGGTGCGAGGGTGAGAGGGAGTGA